CGTGTTTCTTTATTCTTTGCTCTTTTGTTGCTCTCTCTCTCTCTCTCTCTCTCTCTCTCTCTCTCTCTCTCTCTCTCTTTACGTCTCTATCTTTTCTTTTCTTTCTATCTCTCTTTGTCTGTCTCTGTCTCTCCTCGGCCTTCCTCCCACTTCTTTTTTTATGATTTAAATTGAATTTTCAATTTGTCACTTTTCTTTTTCATCAGTTAAACTCAGACTTCGTAGCCAGTTTTGGGCTATTTTTTATTACCCTGTGATTCAATTTTTTTTTTTTAAAGTCTGGTTCAGATTGTGTGAGTGGTTTGTGTTAGGTTCCCTACAACATTTCTTATTTTTGCGGGCATTGCCCGCACCGCCCGCCCCGCGGGCGCTTAGCTAGTATATATATATAGATAGATAGATAGATATTTTTGGTCCGCGTTCGGCCGGAACGGTCAAACGCGTCTACAGGAGCTAGGACCTAGTACTAGGCATCGTTTAAAACGGTTTGTGGCCGGTTTTTCTTATTTCAAAAGACGTAAATATCTAGGCTACCAGCCGGGCCGCCCGGGTCCCGGGTGGCCAGCCCGTGCAAGGACCAGGGAAGGTCCCAGCCAAAAAAATAAAAATTCAAAAAATCCGAAAAACAACTATGTTATGCAAAAAAATGAACTGAACAACTTTTGCCTTAGGGTCACATCGAAATTGTGCACCAGATTTAGAATAAAAAATAAAATTTTAATTTTTTTATTTTATTTTTTATTTTTTAATTGTTTTTGGCCCGGTCGGGCAAGTGACCCCGGGCCACTCTGGTAGCCTAGGTAAATATCAATTTTTTGTTATTTTATGAACGCGGAGAAAATGATGGAAATATGCACAATTTTCAGGTCTCTGGCATCAACTCATGGGCAGTAAAGCTAGTGCATCCTTACTTCGGGGTTGCCCCTGTTGACAGAGTTGTCCTAGTACAGAGGGAAAACCTTCACGTTATTGGCTGCATCTGACTCAAAACTTGGCCTTTCGCCTATGCATCTGACCGGTTCTTTTGGCCATGTGTGTTGTCGAAGATTGTGCTCATCCTCACTGCCTAACCTGATTCTGAACCCACACACGGGCGAAACCGGCAACGACAAGGCAGGACCACCTATGACAACAGAGGAACGCGGGACATCGGTCACACAATCAGTCACCTTTGCATGATCCGGGCCACGGCTAGACGCTCCATGCGATGGTGGAAGCCCATACACGAACGCTGAACTCGCGGACGGCCGTTGCAGATGTTCCACCGACGGAGGGACCTGTGTCCCCACACCGTCTTCGAAGAGGCATTGGGACTGGCAGCTATCATAGAGTAATGGCTGATGAATCTCACTACGACTGAAAGACGGACCACCAACGCACTCTCCCGAGACCTATAATGCGTGGTTGGTCTCTGCAGAAGGTGGGGCCCCATTCTGCAACTCTCAATACCCCCCAGTCCCCTATAGAAGACAGTTCAGGACCCCAGCTGGGTGTAGTGGGCCATGGCTGAGCACTGTGTGGTCTTGTCGTGTTCGATAAGATAACGGTGCACAGAGACGAACTGTAGAGGCTGGAGACGAAAGAAAACGGAGTGTGAGTGGTAACTGAAGAGCGGAAAACAACGAGCATTTGATCTTTTTTTTCTCGCTGCTGTTTTGTAGGGCCGCATGGCCGTCAGAGATGGTACACCCTGAGGCGATTAAGACCGCCTTGCGCCACTTGCGGCGAAATATCGCGGCACGTGACACGAGGCCTTGGCCCGATATCGTGGACCATATCCTAGCTATCCACCGTGGGACCCCTCATGAGTCCACTGGCTGCCCCGGTTAGCCCGAGAAAGATAGCGGATGACTGAAATGGCCCATGGTCGGCAGGTTCGGAGCTATGAGGCCCGAGATGGGAACGTTGGACCCCAGCCCCAGTACAAATTAGGGGACATAGTGCAGTTCTCCGCCATCGTCCACGTCATCCTTCAATTTTGCGGGGGAAGACGACGATCTCGAGCTCAAATACTTTGACTCCCTTTCCTCTCAACCTCCATCTCTAACTCCTCCCCCATCACCATGAGTTTTTCTACCGACCAGGTCATCAGTGAACGTCTAATGATACCCGGGGGGCATATTTCATCGATCCGACAGTTGTGGCGGTCACGATTGAGTCTAGATCTGCTTCGCTTTGCGGCTTTCTTCAGCACAACGGCCATCCACGCGGCGGCGGAATTTCGGTTCGCACGCACCAGCGAGCGGACAAGAGTGTCGGCCGAGGCGTCAACTTTTCTGCGGTTGTCCCCGCCTGGCAACAGCCACGTGTCAGTGATCGTTGCCTTCACCGACAATCTTACGGCGCTGCATCCAACATGTCATACGGGCGCCCTCCGACAACTGTGACTCTGGGCTCGGGACCTCACGGAGGCGTGGATCCCGCTTGGGTCGGCTCCACCAACCACATCGACCTCAACGAGCTTTGACTCTCTCTCTCAACACCGGAGGTTATCATTCCGGAGCTTCTTCCTTTTGCATCGCCTCAATGAACCGGCACCGCCTCTCGACCTTTGGGCTTCCCTCCGACCTCCCTACCTTCTGGCAGTCCGCTACGGACGTCCCTCTCTCTTTTCGGATCCGGCAGCTGGACGTGCCGATTCTCGACGTGGGCAAGTGGGCAGGGTGGTGGAACGAGTATGCCACGCTTAGCTTCTGTCTCCTCGAGGTGGTGTTCCATTGGGCGGAGCCCACCGACAAGGACGAGGAGGACGAAATTCCTGATGACAAGGTGGAGACCTGGATAATAGACACGGCGGGAGAACTGTTGGGGCTTCTATTCGGGAAGGTTAGGGCCGACCATATGGAGCCAATCACGAACGAGGTCATGGTGTTCCTGGCGCAGCTCCTGGACGATCTGCCCCTGGATATCATTTCGCGCTGCGACGAGCGGCCCGCGGTAGCGACGCTTACCCATACATTTGTACCGCATTTACTGTGGTCCACGTGTACGGAGCTTGATGGTGACAATTGCTACTGCCCCTCCTCAGGCCATTACCTGGCAATCGAAGTGACCGACCTCACATTATGGGATCCGATCATCCGAAGAGTGGAGGTGGAAGGGGTAGCTGACGACGCGGAGGAAGAAAGAGAAGAGGAAAGCGAAGAGGAAGAAAAAGAAGACTCTGAGGTGGAAACCGACGATACCGATCACCATGAGTCAGAGGAGAGTGAGTTGGGAGGGAGTGGGTCGGGCAAATCAGATAGCCCCAGCGAGACGAGCAAGGAAGAGGACGAGGTGGCTATGTATCACCCGCGGTCGTGACCGCGGGCCATTTGACCGCACGCGGTCAGCATCCCGACCACAGCGGGTGACCGCCCGCGGCCAAGTGCAGTCGGAAAACCCCGACATTTTTACATCCTAGGATAATAGGCCAAAAAAAAAAACAATATGGGGTTGTAGGTTTTTGTGCGCTCTATAACCGTATATTTTTAGTTTTATTTTTTGACTTCTTTTTTTATTTAAAAAAAATGAAAAACAGAAATCCCTCATACAAAAGTTCTTCACTTTATTCTTTTAGTAAGAAAAATAAAGGATTTTGTTTATTTTTTATCTCAAATTTGGTAATGAAATTTGATATGACCCCAAGGCAAAAGTTGTTCAGTTTAGTTTTTGAAATAACAAATATTTTTTTCAGAGTTTTACGATTTTTTTATTTTTATTTTTTTCATGACCGCGGTCCGCGGTCGTGCCCGCGGGGACTGCGACCGCGGGTGATACATAGCGAGGTGGCATCCTAGAGGAGGCGAGAGAGGGAGTAAGAAAAGCGGCCAGTGGAGGAATCGGGCGGGCTAGCAACGCGGCTGTCACAAGGTGATCCGACGCACAATCCAGAGCCGCCGCAGGAGGAATGTGGAGGAAATCATGTCGCCACCACGGAGGGATCTAGAAGCAGGCGCCGCAGAAGAAGTCCAACGCCAGCTCAATCCTCTTCACCTCCGCGGCCCGTCGCTCGCCTACGTCGAGATGAGGGCGCTCGGGCTTCGTCCCCTGTCGTTATCCAGTCGGCCCCTTGATTTTCTTGTCATCCACCAGCTTATGGGCCGGGCCCCTTTTCCCTCTAATTAGCATCTCTTCCCCCCTTCCCTTTTCCACCATCTCTACTCCACCCGCCTCATCATCAATGTTTTCCCGCACGCCACCACTCGCTCTATTGTAACCTCCTTCCCTCTCCACGTCCTTCTCTTCAGCACCGCATGGCAGGAATATAATAATATAGAAGTTTATTGCATAATTTTTGGCACCATCCCCGCTTGCGAAGGTTACGAGGTTTTTCACGCCGTGATTCTCCGCACCCTCTGTACCCTTTACCCTTATTACCTCACTTCGCTCCCACACCAGGATCATCGCTCCCCCCACATACATCGCACCGTCCATTACACCCGGCTTCCCACTGGGGATCGAGAGCGGAGTTGCTTTCTACCACCTCTGCCCCAAGCTCACCCTCCTCTTCCCCCTCCCGTCATCAGACTACCTTTCCCCGACAACCTCTAGGATCGGAGTTCACGATGCCACCTTGGATGACTTCCACACTCTCATATTACGGTGAGTGGCACATGTCAGCTCCACGATGATCGTTGGCAATTTTTAGGACCAGTCAACGGCGAAGAGCAAGCAGGAGCTTGCTCAAGGTTGGAACCCCCTGGGCGTCATATATGTGACGAACTGTTCTCTGCAACCGCACGGATTTATGCGCGAGGCTATATCGGGAGGGGGGGGGGGTGAAATTGGCTGAGCCGGAATGGCCTGGCGGATTGCATGGATATCCTTGTTTTTTCTTGTCTCTTTCGATTGAAGACTGGTCTGGTCCCACGACGGTTGATAGTTGATCGCGCTGCGCGACGAATAAACGGTTGTCATAGCTTCTTTCTTGTTCTGCTGTGGGAAATGAGAATTTTGGCGCGATTGTCGCGCGGGAAAATCTATTTGAATTTCCAACTGATGTCGAGTCCCCGCAGACTCTCGAAATTTGTTTCGCTCGGATTTTCTTTTTGAAATTAGGACTTCGATTATGAATTTGGGCGCATCTCAATTTCTGTTGCGCGGTGCTTCCTGCTTACGCACACTCGGCCACGTCAAGAACTGTGTTCTGACTTTCCCACGCCTTAATCTCGTATTTAACTATAATCTTTGTTTGGCAGGCATAATTGCAATTGCAATCCTCTCATTCTTGATATCTTTTGTGGCACCTTTGCGCGTGCATACCTCTCCCCCATCCTATTGGTCTGACACTTGCATGACCGAATCGATGTGTGGAGTGTGGCTACGTCCCCCCACGCCGCGGCCTGGCCATGCAGGCGTAAGCACTTCCTTCCTCCTTCTTCGTCCCACCCGAACACAATCCCGAGTATCTCGCGCAAAACATGCATGCTATTAATTTCGCGAGCGCGATTAATTCACTCTCGAAGACTTTTTGGAGCTAGCGCGGTCGAGAGGATCGGCTAACGAGCAGAGAGTTGGCAGGTGAGTAAGAGAGTTGGGCGATCCCACGAGCTGGTGCTGGGCGTGCGGGGTTGACGTGGGGCCGCGACGAACAGTGGCACATGGGCGAACCTGGCGGGCATGCTCGGGCTAAGTTGGGTGACAACTCGACGTTAGGTGCGACGCGACGGACTGCCCGCATCGGGACGTTGTGAAGGGAGAAAGAGAGAGAGAGAGAGGAAGAGAGAGAGCCGGGAAGTGTGTGATGAGCTTCTTCTTCTATCCCTCTAAGCCATTTTGATTCTTCTTCCTTTCTTCAGAGCAATTTCGGTATCCGGCACAAGTCGCCTTTGTTTCTTTTGATCGGCATCTCAGATCTTTTCTTCACTAGTCTCTAGTGATTGAAACTGTTTCTCCCATTTTGTTCTCCCCTCTATATGGATGGACCCCATTGGTTAGTTAATTAACTACGATCGAATTTTGTACGATCATGATGCATGAATGATTATCACCTTCTTTTTTTTGTTTATGTATGCATAAAACTGGACGCGTGGACGATGGGTATTTGTCAGTCGAAATTAAATAAGCATGCTAGATGATCAGATGTTTGTCTCGCCATAGGGCTATCCACCCTCAGTTAACAGGCCAGCACGTACGGGACCTTGGTTATTAGTCATTGTCTATTGGACGGAAGGGCAGGCCTTGTGCACAGACGTGTAAGCCCGATCAGAAGAACGTGGCCTACACGCGTGTGTGCAGTGCCTGTGCTCGGTCCAACTCTTCGAATGACTAAGTTTCCGCCTCACCCCACATCATGAATATTGAACTCCCTTTTCGTATTACTGACCGCGAGTGTTTGAGAAATCCGAAATTTCGGGAGTATTGGGAGCACGTGTGTCTATCTGCTCGACCGAGGAGAGAACTTCCTGAATTTCCATACCCGGTGTGAAATGAGTGCATCTGCGAGTGGGATATCGACCGAGCTGGAGAGCGCATTCCCCACCACCCGGAATTCCCCAGCTCGTACACGTGTCACCTTGTCGCGGAACCAGGAATAGTTATTCTGGAAACCGACTTCCCTCCCTACCACCGTGTACTGCCCTTCCATTCGCTGACCATCCTCCCTTGGCGTGCAATCGCTCCGTATTGGCCCCAACCCCTGTGCTCGGAGTGCTTCCAAGACCACGAGTATTGAGCCTCCGGTTTCATCCAACGAACCCGCTCGGAGGAAGAATGATGGGCGCACAGCCTTCGGCTACGGCCAGCCGCGCCGGATTCTGAGACCAGTGACGCACGACGCCAACCAGTGGTCGGACAATGCGATAGCCATAGCGTCCTGACCGTGCACCAAATACGAGTCCGACCTAGACGACGGAACCAACAGAGGTGGTAGCCCCATGCTCAGAAATACAAAAACAAACTTCGATCCGCGCCTATCCTCCTGAATCCCTATCTCTGAACTTGCCTCAGGAGATCTCAGTTCCGACCTGGGACTCCACCCCCACTTTCCCAAAAATCCTTGGCACACCGCTTTTCGCACTTCCAGGCCCACTCACACTCGGATCAGGAAGTCGCGCCGGGCGTGAGGCTGGGCATCACATCAGTGCTTTTGCGACGATCATGAATTATTTCCATTTCTGCACAACAAAACAAAAGTGGCGAAGGTGCAAAAACAGCCCCCCCCTACAGAAACCATAGAATTGCATTGTCGCACCAACGCCAAGTGCCTAGCTATATGGACGTGGCAAAAACATTTCAAAGTGTTCTATTGGCCTATGGGCAGCCTCCTCTGAGAGAAACAAGAGTATCAACCTGCGCCATCGATACATGAGGATCAGTCGCGGTAGGATATGGTCACTGTTGGCCGCACCGGGTTGTAAACCAAACAAGCTAGGCTTAAATTGTGCCTAGTGGGTCCTAGCTCCAGGGGCGCCCAAACGTTTGGGCGTTCAGGTTCGTCCATTCAGCCCCGGCCGAACGCCGGCTACCATGTATATAGACATCAATATATATTATTTTGATACTTTGTACTTTTAAAGGTTTAATCCCCTTTGATCCCTCCCTCTACACCCTCCCCTCTGCCCCTATCCCGGTTCTATCCCCGCTCCTCCTGCCCTCCTTTCCTGTAGACTAAGTAACCTGTTCCCTGTTCTACCCTGCTATTGTGATACATCTGCTACCTTCCTACTTACAATCCTACCCGGACTTTCTAACTATAATACACCTTGGTTGCTGCCCATGGAACTGTGACTTTCTACCCACTATCAGACTCCGTTTCAGGTCGCCACTCGTGGCGCAGCAGGACCGGCCCGATCTTCATTTGGCCCGTTTGGAGATCTTGGGTCAGCAGTTGTGGATAAGGAGCCCATCTTTCCCACAAGCCCTTCTCCTTCTTTCCCCTGTGTGCCGCCAGGAGGGCCCCTCTAACCTTTTCCAGCACTCTTTCCTGATATGCCCGTATCGGCGGGGAAGCTTCCTGCCTGCATCTTTCTATCGTCAGGGTCCATAGCACTGCTGCTCGTATAATTTCCGCTGCCATCTGCTCCTCAAGCCTTGGGGGGTTGTCAACCTCCATCAGAGTCCCAAGGAGAATGGCTGCATCATCTGCCTCAGCAACATCCAGCACTGATTTGTCTGCGCCGTAACTGGGTAATGGTCCTGGTAATTTCAACAACAAAAGCCCTTCGATGGTCTCTGTAACCCTGTGCAACATCTCCAAAAAACGCGGAATGTTTTCGACTTTTGAAGACAAAAAACTTTTTTTTTTTTTTTTTTTTTGACATAGGATGAAGTGGACTGTAGGAAAACCCACCTGCTGGAAACCGGGTCCAGCGTCCCATTACCTGCATTCCTATTCACCCAACTAAGGGCCTCGCCGGAC